AAATTAAATAAATTAAATAAAATTAAATAAATTAAATATAAATATAAATAAAGTCTAGATTATAGTATTACAGTTTATTATAAGTTTTTAATAAAAAGTTCTACTTATATATGTTGTATTTAAAGTATAAAGCTAAAGAAATAGTATAAAATTATCTATTAAAAATTTAGTAAAATAAAGGTATTTTTTTAAAAAATAAAACTGTTTTTGTATTTTTATAAGATACTGTAATTAATAATTAGATTTATATAAATTAAAAAAAAATTTTAGTATATTTATATAGAAGTAGTTTTTTGGAGTAAAAACTGTTTAGAACTGCAGGGGACTATAGTGCAGTCCTGGGTAATATAAGCAAAGACTAAAAACTATATAGTCCGGTCCTGGTTCCAAATTTCAGGACCGGGACTGCACTATTCCTAGGCCTAAGCCAGACTAAGAACCAAACACCAGCCCGCGCCTTGACATGGTTAGAAATATAAATAATAAGTATAATTAGTATAGTAACTAAGAATACAGATAACAGCTAATACAAGATATAAATTCAGCTAAAATAATTTATATATATAGAATTTGGTTAAGTAAATTATAAGACAGGATAAGAGTACAGTAGAGTAGGTAACTTATAGACAGATATAGATACAAATAGCAGAATATATATAAGCAGAAATAGCAACCAAAAAACTATAAAATATAGAAATATAAGAATTAATTAATATAGTAGCCCAGCAATTAAAAATAATAAAAAAATATATTAAAATAAACAGTATATCTGCAGAGGCAACTTTCTAAACTGTTTTAATACAAGAATATACTACTATATAATATAGAATAGTTAAATACAATAAAGATATAATTAATTTAGTTAATATAAAGACTGTTAAAAAAGAAGAAAGTTTGGGAGGTTAATGTCCACCAAAGAATGCCCAAAGGCGGAAATAACAGCAGAATATTGACAATGCCGAAATCCACTACAATTAACCAGTTATTTAATATAGATTAGACTGAGATTAATTAAGTATACTAAATAATTTAAAATATTTTAAATTATTTTTAACTTTTATTTTATTACTTATTTATTTTTTTATTTATAAATAATTCTTAACTTATTCTAATTATTTATTTATTTATTTATTTGTCTACTTTTACTGTTATATAACTTTATAAGAATATAGATTTTAAGTAGAATAGTACTGTTATTATTTTAGTATTACTGCTACTGGTTACTGCCTACAGTAGGATCTTTAAATCCTTTTCTATTTTTTTATTTTTTTAGATAGTTTATTTTCTAATTAATTATATTTAATATATTTAATCATCATATGTATATACGTACATGAGATCATAAAGATCTGACAATATTTATATATATAGCTAGCAGATACATGGTCTCTTCTAAGGTGAAAGTAGTAAGGTCAGAGGTCACGTGAATAGCAATATCTCTCTAAATTTCTTTAAGAGAATTATTATACTGTTGTATTCATCATTGCTTGTAGCCTCACAATAGTCCCATCTGATACCAATATTAGTAAAAATGTTCCTGAGTGATCTCTTACAGATCTCTCACCAAAGCTAGAATAACTAGTTATTCCTTACAGGCTGATTTTACCGGGAGAAAGTTGAGATCATCTTACATCTTGGTGCAATGCTTCATACATCCAATTGACAACCTTATTTGGAAGCATGGCTAGCCTTCGGATTTATACTCGGAACTTTCCTCAGCGTACTGTTGTTCTTGCAACCTCTGACTACGCGTTACTATTCAAGTCCGAATCTCCCAGCGAAAGGCGTCGCAACGGCGGCACCGTGCCGCGTTGCCGAGTCGACCTTGTCCCGGTATCCTCCATCCAGTTTGAAGATTACCAAATCCAGGGTAAAGGGTTTGGTACTCTCGGACTTATCCACCTGGACGAAGATGTTTTCGTAAGCGTTATCACTGGCTCCTCGAAAGCCGCCACGGTACGACCCGGGGAATCAGTTTTCAGAATAGACAAGGTGGAGTTTTGTGAGGTTTCATCATCAGTCTCATAAGGAATCTGCTGACTGGGCTCAGTTTGTTTGAGCGACTCCAGATACGAAGATCAACTATATCATGATGTGGACTCCTCTGTCCCAGTTGAGGTAACTGAGACTGAAGTAGAGTATGAAACCAGGGATACGGCTATCGATGTCCCTTTTTTGGCTCTGAAGAAACTACTGAGCGATGGGAGCTTTTACTACAGCCTTGATTTCGATCTTACAGCTCGGTTGCAAGATCGGTAAGCCAAGTCGCATTTGTGAAATGATGGTTGGGCTCACGAAGTAATGACTAGATCCGATAAATCCGCAACTTTTGATATAGAGTCTCTGGATGAGGACATGCTCTGGAATGCATACCTCATAAACCCCCTTCTCATTTTCAGAAAACACCTAGCCCTGACCGAGAAGAATCACCTCGATTCTTCGCGCATCTTGACGTGTGTGATACGAGGCTTTTGTGGCACACTAACGATACCATCTTCCGTCCCAATCATTCCCCGGGGACATACGCGACTTCCTTCCTCGCTTACAATAATATCTCGTCAGTCATCTCGACGTGCGGGAACAAGGTTTAATTCCCGTGGCATAGACGATGATGGTCATGTCGCCAATTTTGTTGAGACCGAGACAATACTCTGGATTGCTCCTCATCTTACCTTTTCCTACGTTCAGTTGCGTGGATCAGTGCCGATCTTTTGGGAGCAGGCTACTGGTTTTATCCCAGGACAGCAGAAAATTGAAATAACCAGATCCGTCGAGGCGAGCCAACATGCGTTCCATAAACACTTCAAGAACCTGGAACTGAAGTATGGTGCAATACATGTAATAAACCTTCTGAGTGAACTCAGGCCGGGGGAAGTAGAGCTTTCAAGAAGATTTCGGGAACTTATCAAAGGAGACCGTACAAGTCAAGAAACTGGACTTGGAGCCCTTTCGGACCATAGTCTTCTACAGCTCACGGAATTCGATTTTCATGCTGAAACCCGAGGACCAACTGGGTATGGCGCCAGCAGCCAGATCAAACCCGAGATATTTCACTCTCTGCAAGGCTTTGCCTACTTTCAAGAAGAGGAATCTGACCTTGGAACCCCCAATCAAAACCAGAAACCACTGGGTAACACCGTCATCCTACAGCAAGAAGGGGCTTTCCGAACCAACTGCCTCGATTGTCTCGATAGGACGAATCTCGTACAAACTATAATAAGCACCATGGCTCTTGATGCATTCCTTCATCAACAAGGGAGTACAATCGGCGATAATCTACAACTGAGACATTCAACCTTGTGGGCCGACAATGGCGATGCTTTGTCCAAAATATATGCTGGCACTGGCGCCCTGAAAAGCTCATTCACACGCCATGGCAAGATGTCCTTCGCAGGTGCACTTGCAGATGTCCGAAAAACCGCGGCGCGCATCTATGTCAACAATTTCTCTGACAAAGCTCGCCAACAAACAATAGATATTCTATTGGGGCGATTAACAGGCCAGATCCCCGTACTTCTATTTGACCCGGTTAATGATCGAGTTGCAACCGAGCTGGCTCAGCTATCATCCAACTATTCGTCTTCCAAATCGATTCAAATCTGGGCTGGGACATTCAATCTCAATGGGCGTCATCCGGGGCCCAGTACAGATCTACGGCCGTGGTTGCTTTCAGGGTTCACCCGCCAGGATGACAGCCCACGGATTTTTGCAGTCGGGTTTCAGGAAATTGTTACGCTAAGTCCACAGCAGATAATGTCGACTGACCCTACAACCCGAAAAGTGTGGGAGCAGAATGTTCAAAGCTGCCTCAATTCCGAAGCGAGCTCCAGGAAACTTCCTAAGTATGTGCTCTTGCGAAGTGGTCAACTCGTTGGAGCTGCTCTTATGGTATTCGTGAGAGGGGATAGCCTGAAATACATCAAGAATGTTGAAGGTAGTGTGAAGAAGGTAGGTTTGACATGACATTTAGGCGTCTACTTCGTCTTTCACTGATTATACTCATGTAGACGGGCCTATCAGGAATGGCCGGCAACAAAGGAGGCTGCGCCATTCGCTTTGACTACTCAAATACGCGCATCTGTTTTGTGACTGCCCATCTTGCTGCTGGGTTCGCTAATTATGACGAGAGGAATAAAGACTATGATACCATCCTACGTGGGCTCCGCTTCTTGAAAAACAGAAGTATTGAGGATCATGACACTATCGTATGGCTTGGGGACTTCAACTATCGGATCGGTCTTGGCAGTCAACTTGTCAGAGAATTGGCACTTCAGGGAGATTACCAGAAGCTTTACGATAATGACCAGGTATTTTCCGAGGTCGAGCTTGACGTCGATCTTTGTGACCCTGACAACCCTCTCAGTTAAATCTACAAATGCTAGCAGGTAGAGCCTTCCACTTCTACACTGAAGGACCTATCACATTTCCTCCAACATATAAGTATGATATTGGGAATGATCATTATGATACCTCGTTAGTATCACAAGTATGTCATGTTGTCATGTGACCAGGAGACTGAGACCTCAATAGGGAAAAAGCACGTATACCCGCCTGGTGCGATAGAGTCCTCTGGAAGGGATCGAATCTACGTCAAATTCATTACAGCACTGCGAACCTGCGATTCTCCGATCATAGGCCAGTTTGGGCCGTATTTACATGCATAATCAGCATTGTTAATGAGGAACAGAAAGCCCATCTGCAGCATAAGCTTTATAGCAAATACCGGCACAGCACACGCGCTGTAGTCGCGAGTGAGCCCAAAAACGCAGATGCCAATACTGGAAAGCTGTATCACTCAGGAATTGCTACGCGGACTCAGGAGTCAGCTACTAGCGCTGCATATGACAAATGGTGGTTAAACCATGGTCAGTCACAATGCCACTCTCTGACCTATGAAAGCCGACGCCACCAGTCCAAAATTATCTGCTATACTCATACTTCTCATATCATGAACTAGGCGAGTCTGTGCGGTCACAGGTGAAACCTCCCTCCAACAACCTCATCTGGAATATTCAACGTATACCAAATCCCTTTTCCTGGGATGACAACGATTGGGCTCAAGCATCGCCGTCTACTGCAATCGAGAATGGTGCACTCAAACCCCCTCTGCCACCAAGGATGAATCTTCCAGGCTATGAAAGACATCGGGTCTGCTATGAATCAAAGCGAGAGCACATTGATGCTACTATTGACGTGCCTGGAGAGCCATATCAGGACAATCCAAAATCTCAGAAAACGAGTAAAACAGCTTCTTGGATGATGGAATCATATCATACAAGTCCACGGCTACCGGTAAGCACGACACAAACACTTGCGGGAGACAATTCGCCTGGACCGTACCATTCACGCCCACATAATATCGCTGAGCGGTTGGTGACCCATACGGTCAGTGAACTCAATGCGTTGTTGTTTTTCGGTTTACCAGATATATGATACTAAACCTGTAATTGCATTACAGAAACATGATCTATTGGGCGAAGCCATCAATGATAGGCTCACTTGGGAACCGCTCAATCCCGGAAAATAGAATCTTGTCTTTACCTAGACTCACAGATGATTTAGTACTATCTGATCTGCAGAGCCCGGTCCACTGGTATCAAACAGACTCTTGATGTTACATCATCTTGTCACTATTTCTAGACGTACTTGGTATAATTCTGCGGTAACGTAGACCGACTCCTTCGGCTTTACTTCAAGACTCTATAAGTTTAACATAACCATATATACAAGGCTACAGCCAGCATGATGTACCAGTGCCGATTTGCGGGTGTCGGAGTATAGTATACTCGCAAACATTGGCTGATTCACCTACTTTTCAAAATCTTCTGGAGCAGCTCTAAAGTTAACCTGTTCTCCTAACGGCAAGCAAGCCTGCTAGACATCGGAGAGGATGACCACGCATAAGCACAGCCATGGGCATGAGAAACCATTCCCGAACAAGCGGGAGGAAAAGCCATGCACCCCTAAAGCAGAGACCTTAATAAGCGACTTTGGAATGTCGAGCTCGTCACAAATTGCTGAGGATTAACGGTCAGCTTCGTTGTGGTCAATTTTGTTGGACCATTTACTTACCTGATTGTTTGATTACTCCATAGCGAATGGAAGTAGTAAAGACAATGTTATCATAACAGGCAAGCAGTGCAAGATAACCCTGTTGCATGCTATGATACGCAATCTGAGAGCGAATCACAAGTTCTTAAGTCACTTTACATAACACGGCAAGAGATACCGTGCTGGACTGCCTTAGGCTTTTTTCCCATTTTTAAAGCCTTGTTTAACCTTAAACGATTGCCTCCCACCATCCACATTGCGAAAGCACCAGGGTCTGGAGCCTTTGCCCGTGGCTTTTTGGGACCTGCATAATGTTATTGAAGAGAACATGGTGGCATGCATGCGCATCGTAGAACATCCTTGCACAATGTGAGAACAGAGACCTACCTGCTTGATCGGGTTTTTTCTTGGAATCCCCATCGACAACGACTGCAGACTCATCTGGAACTGCTGTAGGTTCAGGTGGAGGGGAGGGTTCTGCAACTACATCTGCTGGTGGGGCAGGCTCAGCGGCTTGAGGTTTCTCTGGTATGGGCCACATATGCATAGTTATGGTCCAATCTGGTTCAATAACAGTCTCCCAAACTTGGGGCAGGATTATGTCGCCATTAGGGCCAACCAGATCATAGTGTCCTTCAGCGACATGAGGACCTATCACCTCGATATGAAGGAATGCCTGTCGTATAAGCTCTTCCATGCCCTGAAAAAAAGTTTAGCCATAGATTGTATTCCATACATTAAGTCTTCCTCACCTTCCAGGTACAGCACAAGTCGAAGGGAAAACTGAACTTCCTCCCGACTGCATCCTTGAACTTTATCGGCTTCTTTTTCTCCGGAGGTGGGGGGTTCGCAGCGGCTGCTGTTGCAGCCGCGAGCGCTTCTGCAGCTGCCGCATTCGCTGCCTCTGTGGCAGCAGCAGCAGCAGCTTCTACCGCAGCAGCAGCCGCATCTTCTGCTTCTTTCTTGGCTTTTGCGGCTTCCTCCGCAGCTTTCTGCTCGGCCTCCGCCCTTGCTTGTGAGGCAGCGTCCTCGGCAATTTTCTTCTCGTGCGCGGCACGTGCCTCTCTTGCAGCTTGCTCAGCGGCTTCCAGTTCGATCGCAGCCTGTTTGGCAGCCTCTCTGGCTTCCCGAGCTTCGCGCTCCGTCCTTTCCTCCAATATCAGTTTTTCGAGCCTTGCGATAGCTTCATCCTTCTCTGTATCGGCAGGTGCGGGGACAGGGGATTCGGGTGGATCGACTTGACTAGGAGATGGCGCGCGAGGATATGAGTGATAATAAGGCGGAATCATCCCAGGAACCACATGGTAAGGATCCCTGAAAGGATAATAGGTCCCTGGGCCATATGGTATCATCATGTCGTGGGGGGCATAGGGAGGCGGACCATGTCCTGACATGTGGTGTGATATTGAATGTGGGGACGGGTTGTGCCCTTCGTTCCGTCCATGAGAAGAGGCTGCGATAGGGTGTGGTTGATGTTCTGGGTGACGTTCATGGGCTAGAAAAGGGGGCAGAAGAGGACCAGGTGATTGAGAGTTGTACCCGTACATCGATTGACCATACGGTAATTGCTGGCCTTGATGACCGAGTCTTATCAGCTGGTCCGATGTAGTCGCAACGCCATTGGGGTGCATAAACGCAGCATGCGGTATGGAGTTCCCGTTAGGATAGACGTATGTTTGTCGTGGGGAGGAATGATGATTGTAACCTGTGCCCTGAGGCACAGTTGACCAGAATCTCCGCTCCTGAGGCATACGCCCATATGGAGCACCATATTCCTCAGCCGAGTCTGCGCTCTCTGGGGAGTCCGGCGAAGGGTTTCGACGAGAACGCCTGAATGAGGCCCTTTCCGGTGCCATGTGATGCCTTGTTGAGTGGCGGCGAACGGCAGACGAAGGGCCATGAATTGAACTACGTGCACGTAGCCGGCGTGATGTTCTGGGTCGAGAAGCGGAATCCGATGGTTTTAATTCATCCGGATATGATAAATGCGCCCATTCGTCGTAAGAATCTTGGTATCCATGGCTCTCAGACTCAGAAGGGGGAGAAACCTGCACTCCAGAAGAGTCTTCTTCATCGGAGATGGAGGATTCCGAGTCGGGGTCAATTTTGATATTCAGTCTATTATCTGTCAGAACGCAGGTAGATAGTATCAAGAGCAGCAACGCACGTCATTGGGTTCAACTGATTTTCAGAGCTCTCTCTGGCTCTCGTCGTCTTTCGCTGTGTCTACTGTAAATTGACGTCCAAGCTTGGTTTGCGCAAGCAGTTGAACGCGAACCGACCGAAGATGGAATTCAGAGGCCAGGATTGGTAACCCATGAATTGCTCAAGGTTGAAACTGTTACCCGTCGAGGGACAGATGCTCGACAGTCGAATCTTGGGGGTGAGGGCAAAACAGAAGATAAATTAAAAAAAAAAAAATCCCCGATGGCCCTGGACGGAACGGCGTTCACTATCCTCAAGTGCTATGTGAAGAGCCAGTGTTTTCTTCGCACAATAAGCAAAGTACGATTAGAGGCTGGCAGAATTCCAGTCAATAGCTGGCTTCAGTGCAGGCACAGGCAGCAGATTAGTGAGGGTGCACGAGGGAAGCAAGCATGTACAAGGAAGTTATAATGGAACAACCATACCTCTATGATTCGATGCATTAGATGAAGGTCGCGTTAGCTAGGAGGCGGCGAGAAAGGGGAGGCTGGCACTCGAAGATTAAAGGAGAATGAGGGTAAGGGGAGGGGAAAAGTAGAAGGAGGAGGAGGAGGAGGAGGAGGAGGAGGAGAAGAAGAAGGTAGATGGAATCTCGCCGAGGACTGACAGCAACGAAGAATGTGAAGAAACTACTGCCTGATCGAGACGATTTAAGGCCTCTCGGTGGAGATTTGGGCATGGCAGGCATTATACCTATTCCGAAATTTGAATATTGTCGTCATTGGTGGTACTACGGAGTATTAGGCACTGAGCTGGCAACCATTCTTCTTCTCTACCCATAAGCAAAAGTAGTGTAGTGCTGCCCGAGTGCCCAATGAAGAATCTAAGTCCATGCCAACGGGTTGTACAAACAGACCGCCCCTCTCCTTTTACTATGCTCTTCCCTCCTGTTATTACATACCAGTTATCTATTCGTTTCGCGTCAGATGCCGCTAGTATGTAAATTGTTTGCGCGTAGCGCATCAATAAAGATTTGGAAAACCGCACTCAGAGCGCCCAGACTCAATCTGTGGCAGACGCTCGGCTGGCGCTCACTCTGCCGTAAAGCCTTGGAGCCCTGATACTGTACCTACCTTAGGTATGCAGGTAGGGAGGGCTTGGGGAGACGTTGCTCTCATTGGCCAGTCAGAGACGTCATGTCATGTCTCACAAGCGCCTGCACTCAAGTGACTCATCTACGTTCGCTAGTAGTGAGCGAGAGACTAGTTGCGTTAGAGATCAGCTTGGCCCTGGTCTTCGCTAAAGCATATTTAGTCCATGTGTTATTTTACATTCAATCGCTAGCGCGACTGAAGCGATCGAGAAGCTCCTTCACGGCTATAAGTTCAGCTTGACCGTGCTCCCATAAGTGACAATCTGACGAACGTCGACCCACAATTTCCTCGAGACGATTCCTCGCAAATGTGTTGAGGCTTTCCAGCGTATCGGTTGATATGGAATTCGCGGAGACTGATGATTCTTCTTGGCAGTCCGTTTTTTTCTCGAGCAGGAGTGATGTTGCCTGTCATGGTATGTATCAAAGGCAAAAGATTGCGGAAAGAAAGATATTGAGGGATACTTACGATGAACAGACCATAGAGGCCTCTCAAGTAATCGCCACAGAGTTCGATACTTCGACAGAAATACTGAATGGATCTGCGTAAAAGATGACGAGCATTTCCTACGTCGGCCAAACTGGCGCTGGAATACAAGACTTCTCCTAGCCGGCAATGTACCTGCGACGTGAGTGTCAGCTTTCTGTGAGTGTAGACCATCGACGGCAAAAATCATACATTCCAAGCGTTCGGGACAATCAACAGCGCCTCCTCGAGGCTGAAAACTGCCTGTGAACTCATCCCTTGAGAATGATACATATCTGCGAGTTCACACCACGCCTCCGCATCTGTTGGAACAGCATCCAGAAGTCTTATCAGGCCCGTAATGGCCTCCGCTGGTCTATGCAGCGAACGCAGAAGGGCAACTCGGCGTTTTAAAATGGGCTACTAGGTATATCAGCTTCGGATAGTGCCATGAACATGTAGGAAGGCACAGACCAGGTTGACTGGGTCCCTTGACAGTATAGCGTCGTATTTGTGAAGACACTCCTCCAAAGCTGCACGATCTTCTGCAGTAGCTTCTTCGTGTAAACCCCGTAATGCTATCACCTTGTCATTCGAAGAACCAAACCGGCTCGCTAGTCTATCAATGCACCAAAGAGCGGATCTATCATCCCCTGTTTGTAAGCATGCAAAAGCAAGTTGCTCCAACAGATCATATGACTCATGATGCTGGCGTTTCAGAAATGGCATAGCTAGAATACTATCGCCACCTGGAGAGTGCTGTTCAAGTATTCGAGGCGCTTGTTGTGAGAGGCGAGAGATAGTGATCAGATTCGAACTATGTTCATACTGCATTTCAGGGGTATTATGCGCCATGGTAGATCCGTCGCTGTTGGCTGGATATATGAGAAGATTAGACAAAATTCAATTTGTGTTAGCGTGAGCAGGAGACAATCAGAAAGTTGAGAATAAGGTAGATAGAAGCCAACAGGAAGAGCCAGGACATACGTTACAATGCGGAGCTACTCCGCACCGGGGATAGTATGAGTTCTGTTCCCGTGACTTGGACGGAGCAGCTCGACGTAATCGCTCATGAACGGTAACGGAGTGTACAACATTTACGAGGCTGTTCCGAACCAGTGAACTATTCTTGATATCACAGCTCATGATAGTGCAGAAGATCATCAACTTACTTGCGCTTCCTTCTAAATGCCGTACACCGCCGAAGCATAATGTTGGTACCCTGGCCCAGCATGAGAACATAAACAACTAACACTCAACACATCAAGGTTTGAAAAGTCATTATATGACCTGATAAAGGGCCTTAGGAGCCACAAAGGAGATGAGGATGGATATATACAGGAATCTCTTCGAGAATGCAAGGCCGAGATCAAATTGCAGGATATGGGTACGCACAGTATAAATAATCTGCGGGACCAAGCTTTTAACATATCCTAGATAAGAAGGCTACGGCTCTCTTGAAACTGATCTACTTGGAGATGTTTGGCTATGACATGTCCTGGGCATCTTTTCATGTGCTTGAAGTAATGTCATCTGCAAAATATTTACAGAAAAGAGCTGGATATCTCGGTGCCGTACAGAGCTTCAGACCAGACACAGAAGTACTAATGCTGGCAACGAATCTCTTAAAAAAAGTATGTGCGCTGTTAAGTATTATAGTCCTTATATCAATCTAACGGTTGCCTAGGATCTAGTATCATCCAGCATTTCAAATATGTCCCTTCCGCTAATCACATTGCCCAGCATCATCACCACCTCCCTTGCCATGTCATTGCTACCAGATGTTTTGTCTCGGATATCCCACACTCATGCTGTGGTCCGGAAAAAAGCTATTGTGTGCCTCTACAGGCTGACACTTGTCTACCCTGACGCTCTGAAACTAGCTTGGCCCAAAATCAAGGAACGCCTCATGGACGATGCAGAGGACTCTAGCGTCACTACAGCTGTTCTAAACGTGGTATGTGAACTTGGATGGCGACGACCTCGTGACTTTTTACCTCTTGCGCCAAGGTTGTTCGAATTACTTGTCGACGGTGGCAACAATTGGATGGCTATCAAGATAATAAAGCTTGTAAGTTGTCTGGGTCATTTATATGGGGACCCTTCGGTATCATTGCTCGTCAGTATTCTCACAGTCCTAGTTTGCCACACTTACTCCGCTGGAGCCACGATTGGTTCGGAAGTTGCTTCGGCCTTTGGTGAATATAATTCAAACAACAACCGCCATGTCTTTACTTTACGAATGTATCAACGGCCTGATACAAGGCGGCATACTCGATAGCGATCAAGGTGCTCAAGAGAAAGACGAAATCGCTGATTTGTGTGTGGAAAAACTTCGGGGCATGGTTGTTTCAGATTCGGATCCGAATCGTAGGTGCTTCTGCCATACAGCGTGAGATCGAAGCTGACATGGCAGATATTAGTCAAATATGTGGCACTCCTAGCCTTCAACAGAATTGTATCGGCATATCCCGCGCTGGTTTCGATGCACCAGGATGTGATCATGCATTGCTTGGACGATGCGGACATCTCGATTCGACTTCAAGCTCTTGATCTTGCAACCAGGATGGTCACTAGCGAAAACCTCCAGGGAATAGTAGAGCGGTTGATCTTACAGCTGGTCAACTCCAGCGAGTCCACCGGGAATGACCGCCTCGGGACTGATGATGAATTCTCTGAAGACGGCCGCGAAATGAGATGTGATTCAACTAACCGCAAAACAACAACACCTTTACCACCTGATTACCAGCTTGAGGTGTTGCATCGGATAGTCGACATATGCTCTTACGGGAATTATGCAAACTTGTCCGATTTTGACTGGTATGTCGGCACCTTGGTGCGGTTAGTGCAACTTCTTCCCCCGGACGTTGAAGATGTTGGGCTTCCTCATAATACTCGTACGGGCAACGATGCGGATCACCAGTCACATATCACTGGTCGAATTGGTTCTGAGCTACGCAATGTGGCCGTTCGGGTCAAGGAGGCCCGCACGGAAGCAACTAGGGCTGCAGCCTCTTTGCTTTCTCTTGCAAATCGGAAATCCCTTTTTTTCAAGGCCCCAGGCGCAAGCAACGGCATCCTCGGGCCGCTCGCGTGGATGGTTGGCGAGTATGCCGAGCACTTGCTATCTCCTGGCCAAACTCTTTCTTCCTTGATTGATATGTCCAACTTCTCCTTGCCAGGGAGGGCGTTATCCCTCTATGTGCAAGCCATTCCTAAGTTGCTCAACACCTTTCTGCCTGATGAGGGAACATGGGATCGAACAAAGAGGAGCGAAATGTCTCTCATGTTGGCGCGGGTCATTGAGTTTCTCAACTCTCTCAGTTTGCATCCCGACCTTGAAGTACAGGAACGAGCTATCGAATTCCTTGAGGTCATGCGCTTGGCAGCAGATGCTGCACATTCCGACTCCCACAACTGGAATGAAGTACCGTATCTCTTGTCTACGGTCATTCCAAACCTGTTCAGAGGGCTCGAACTAAATCCCGTCTCTGTGAACGCTCAGAAGAAAGTCACGGCACCAGAGCTGCTTCGTTTACACCAGACATTTAATGATAGCCTTTGCGATCTTTTCAATGGCGATCTCGGAACTTCATGCGGAGCAAAGTATGAAGTGCCCAGCCACAAGTTCTACTATTGTAGGGAGGGCATGTCATTTGACAAGCAGCTTGGTGACTTCGTCGCGGTTGACGCAGCTTATGGAACACAGTACCAGACACCAGTGAGTACCATGGTGGAAGAGGCGTCCACCTACGCTAGAAGGTTGGATAGCAAGGAACGAAGTAGGGATGATCCTTTTTATATTGGGACAGATGACGGGTATTATGACATCTTGAGCCCGCACCATCCTTCTTTCACCGTCTCTAATGAAAACGAATTGGATGTTGATGCCATTCCGATAATCGATCTCAAGTTGCACGCCGGAAGGGAACATCGGCCGCCGTCTATGGCTGAGTCTGACGACCGGAAAAAAAAAGGATCACGTCCCAAACGATATAATGTATTACCCGATGAGATGCTAGGAGACGACGAGGCCGGGGCAGCCAATAGGACGGGTGAACCTAGCAAATGGAAACGGTCTTTGCTTCAGATCGATTCCAGTGGGCTGGAGCACCCCCAACTTAGCGAGAACATGCCGCTCTCGGATGGTAATCAATCAGTCGTGCGGAAGGTCGAAGATGAGGCGGAAATGGTTTTGGCAATGCGAGAAGTGGAACAATTTCGGCTCAGATTACAGAGAGCCACAGAGCGAGTGCGGCCAATGGGTATCCCTTCGGAGGGAACATTGGTCAAGAAAAAGAAGAAGAAGACGAGACCCGTGGTCAATGATATGCAGGGAACTGGATGGCCTGATGATGAAACGGGTTCAATCAAGGACAGCAATGACCGACAACAGCAGAAGAAGAAGAAGAAAAAGAAGCCGCCCAAGAACTGATTCGAACCTAGATAGGTTCTCAGTAGGTACTACCTCACTGGCAGTATGGCGCATGGCTAGGGTCATTGAACTAGGTTGAATCTGACTTGCTGGACTGTGCAGTAGGATAATGGTCACATAAATGCACTCGAAGCATTAACAAGAAGTTTGAGGGTAGGAGGCCCCTAATATAATCGCTTCGACAGTGGCCATCGATTTATCGTTGAAAATAATAACATGCGATATTGCAACAAAGCAAGCTGTGTCCATACCTACTGCAACAACTGACTAAAGTTCGTAACAAGAGCGGACCATAACCGAGGCACAATCCCCAGTAATTCGAGAAATATTCCACCACAAACAACAAACGCAAGGATGACTGTCAACTTTCTTAGCCCTACCAGAAGATCATTGGCATGGCGGCTAATGGGAACATACCAATCCAGCCAGTTGATACTGGAGACCGTGAGTGCTGCTTTGGCTTCGCCATCACCCCTCCTTTGCCACGCTTTGCAGCTTCATGCTTTGCATACCTCTCATTGGCCTTTCTCTGCTGTGGTGTTTGAGCCTGCAATTTGAGATCAGTATCCAACACCATCTGAATGCCAATTTAACACCACATTGCATAGATCTATAGCATACCATGCTGCCACTGAATACGGTTGATCTGGGCTAACTCTGGCCTTAACGTCTGGATCACTAAAGAATGTTTAAAATGAACAGAGATTCTGCTATTTTGATAGTAAGAGAAAAGAGGGCTTTTAGAGCAAATTGAAGGAGGCAAACAGCTGGATCACAATCTAGTATACAGAAGAGGCCACGTTGTGCCAATTATGTTCCGGGAGGCTTCTAAGCACGGAAAAGAGTTGGATCCAACAACCCCCTGACAACAGCTTATCGCACCCTTGTGCTCAGCTTTGCTACCGCCTCCCCGATCGAGAATTTAAGGAACACTTCCCGTAATCCATAACTGTATCGCGCCTTGCCCTTATCAGGCAGGCGGCAAAACCAGCCCGTCAGCTGAGCCCGCTGAGCCTTAGTGAGTACTGAGTAGTGACCAGCAGGATTTGTACTGTACCATGGAATATGGTGGGGGATCAGCACCTCAGCCAGTAGGCGGTCAACACTTGCAAATCTCACATCTAATCTCCGCGAGATTTAGATTTTTTCCCTATCGTGTGCGGAGTGTTACATTTCGAATCTCTTCATTTATCCCTGCAAGCACCCAAGCAGATTTTTCTTGAAAAAAAAAACCTAATACCTTGTCTTCTTTCATCTTTTTCTAGTGGCTTGATTAGTACATATCTCGACAATCCGCGGTGAGAAATACTACAAGCAAAGAAAGAGAATCCCCCCCGCCGAGAAACCATCTTGATCTAGCAAATGGGTCTTGCTGCACCCCGAAAGTATGTAGGGTCTACTTTCCTCGTCCCACTTGGTCTAATGTCCATTGCCTAGGAAATCCAAGATCTCACTCGATCCTAACAATACAAATTGGTCGCGCTCAACAACTGGCTTCGGGCACAAGATTCTCAGTTCTCAGGGATGGACCCCGGGTAGCTTTCTAGGTGCACGAAATGCTGCACATGCGGAGTTATTCACCACAGCAAGTGCGTCTCATATCCGCGTCACTATCAAGGATGATACACTTGGCCTTGGTGCGCGACCGAGGCGGGACGTACTAGGCGAACCCACTGGTCTTGATGCGTTTAGAGGCTTGCTGGGACGCTTAAATGGCAAGTCAGATGCAGAACTGGGGATCGAGGAGAAGAGGCGCGAGAATGCCAAGTTGGCTCGATATGCGGCCAGCAGATGGCAGGCAGTTAACTTCATTAGTGGTGGATATCTGGTCCAGGAAAAGGCCGATGTCAGCGAATCTGATGAGCCCGCTCAAATCAAGTCAGACACCGAGAGCCGCAGGACTAATACGAGTGCTACTGAGGTCCAGAGAGGACCTGAAAGTCTTGATTTTGTGGACCCGAAGGCAAGTCCTATCATTACTCAAGGTCAAAATAATGGCAGTAATGGCAGTTGTGGAAGGCAACTCTCAGACAACCAGGCCTCCTGTAAGAAAAAGTCCAAGAAAAGGAAGAACAAAGAAAGGCAAGAAGATAGCGGTTTCGAACACACAAAGACAGACACATCGGATCAAAACTCCCCTACAGAAATGCCTGCATCGACTTCAAAGTCTCTGCCATCAAGGGAACGCCGTCCGATGGGCAGGCATGTTTTCAGAAGCCGTCACATTGCACAGAAAAAGAGAGCTCTTCTCGACGAAAAATCGTTGAATGAGGTAAGAAACGTTGCGTTCTCACATGGTTACTTATGCTTACTGATTTGATCTCAGATATTTATGGTCAAGTCATAATACCCTGTCTCTTGACTCGTGTCGTGTAGAGGCTAGACTAGAATTTCCCACTACTTAAATACCCAATGTGATTATATCTATACAGGCTTGTTATTATCATGGTCATTTGCTCCGCGTGATGCCGCAAGTCTGATCTTCCGTCGAGTTCCGCTACAACACATTTTCATAATGGCCGTCTGTTCCTATCATTATGATGCTACTTAGTGTAGCTCTAGAGGAGATTTGGGTTGAAAGTATATGGACTTCCGTTCGGACTGGCTAGATTTCTCTTCAAACCCTTCTTGTGTGTTTTTCCATTGTAGTGATACTCGCATGTGCCATAGATCACGGAATTAATGGTGCTGTATAACAAGAGTGCTGCTACCTAGGGGTATGTACAATACCGTACATACCCGCATGTGCAATGTATCATTCATGTATGTGTGGGCGCATACCTCGGCCCAGCCGATGGACACTTACATCACTACCACTGTGGGTTGACCCATCGACTGTCATCGTCAGCGGCCGTCATGATCTTACTGTCCATGCTTTATGACACATTCATTCCAGATTCGTATCGTCGAAGTTCGATCTCCGAACTGAGCATATATGTTAGCTCATTCCCCTTGCAAGATCACAAGCACCAAGCTCAATTCGTGCTATTAAGCCACCGATGTCTAATTCTGGAAGTTGTGCCCCTGCGGGGACTGGGAACGACAGCCTAGCCCAGCAACAACCATCATCTCTGCAGCGGTCGCCAATAACCATCACTCATGATGGCCTTTCCACTGATGGTAGTGGTTCTAACCGTGCCCGAAGCACCGAAAAGGACCTACGCGAAAGGAGGTATGTGAACGTGTTCAGGAAATCTTCTTCGGAGTATTTGTTCTTCAGGTTGTTGTACTGATAGAAATCCTACTGACTGGAGAACTAGAATCCGGTGGGCACCTTTGAATATCGGCCTCGAAAGACGCTTACAGACGTTTGTGGTTCTCTGCCATACTTTAACCATCGCTATCTTTTTGACAATGTTTTTCTTCTTATGCGCCATCCCGCTCTCATGGCCAGTCTTAATACCCTATTTGATCTACATCTCTCTCTTTTCGACGGCTGCAACATCAGGGAGCCTGCGCGGTCGCTGCAATTGTCTGCGCTCCCTCCGTGTCTGGAAATTGTATGCGTCTTACTTTCCAGCCCGCCTACATAGATCTGAACCTCTTCCACCAACAAGGAAATATATCTTCGGGTATCATCCACATGGAATCATATCACACGGCGCCTTCGCAGCGTTTGCTACCGAAGCCCTTGGGTTTTCCAAGCTCTTTCCTGGAATCACAAACACTTTACTGACACTTGACTCGAACTTCCGAATTCCGTTCTACAGGGAGTACGCACTTGCTATGGGTATAGCCAGCGTCTCCCGCGAATCATGTGAAAATATCCTCACTAAAGGTGGAACTAATGGTGAAGGAATGGGTCGTGCCGTCACAATTGTCATTGGTGGTGCCCGTGAATCACTGGATGCTCTTCCCAACACTTTGCGTCTTGTGCTTAAGCGCAGAAAAGGATTCATCAAGTTAGCCATACGTACAGGAGCTGATCTTGTGCCAATACTAGCATTTGGTGAGAATGATCTTTATGAACAAGTGCGCTCTGAAGACCACCCTATCATACACAAGTTTCAAATGCTTGTTAAACGTGTGATGGGCTTCACAATTCCCCTCTTTCATGCACGTGGTATTTTCAACTATGATGTTGGGTTGATGCCATATCGTCGGCCATTGAATATCGTGGTGGGTCGCCCTATCAGGGTAACACAGCAAACGGACAGGGAGAAGGTAGACGATAAATACATCGATCTACTTCACACAATGTATGTGCAGGAATTAGAAAGGCTGTGGGAGCAGTGGAAAGATTTTTATGCTAAAGATAGAGCGTCCGAGATTGAGATTGTTGCATAAGATGTTAAGATGATGGTTCTGGCAGGGTGGCCATAGCAGAGTGAATATGAAGAACTATTCGGCATATTTTAAACGAGCCCCATGTCCTGGTATTTTCCATATTAAGTACACTAACCCAGAATTACAGTGACAAGATTCGACCACATGTGAGGTTCAAATCCCAGGTAAATACCTGCAGGTCTGAGCTATCGCTTGTATAGGCTCTACACCAAGCCTACTGGCTTAATTATTGGCTGATAACTTCAGTCAATACCTTGCCGCACAACTAGATCCCTTACTAAAATCGTGGGAGTTACATACTCTCTGGACCTTTTTTATGTTCGGAGTGACGATTCTGAATCGATGATGAGATAAATGGAATATAGCATGTACCGAAAGCTGAAATCGCTTCGAAAGGGGGACAAGAATGGGTATCTGAAAGTGATGAATGATAGAAGAACAACGAAGCGACTGGGCATAAAGCATGTGCGACATGATTGAGAGAAGGAGCATCCGACCTCAAGGAAATATAAGCAAAGCTCCTATGATCGTGTGTCATGGGTAGCCTGGAAAGGGAAATCGACCCCTGAGACCCAACAGCCCGGTGCATGACAATGGATAGTGTTTTTAGAACAACAGGAGCATGAACTAGAATCAATTCCTGGAGGAAGCGACGATCCCTTCAATCTATAAGCGGCGAATCGTCTTGCCAAATGGCGGAGGCATTCCCCTGCGCGTCAAAAACCAATTGAGATCCGATGAAGTTAGAGATTCGATATCACGAGGTGATCAGATCCAAGAGCTGTCCGAGCAATTTGCTTTTAAAACAGCTCTGATCCCCGACGGGCCTTCGAGGCCAGTGCACTCTCTGTCATTGATACATTGTTCGAGAAGTGTCTAAGTGCTCATGCTGGTGAGCAGAGTTCTCCGGATGGCTGACTGTGTTCCAAAATGATAGTGCGAAGATGTCAAGCTTGAGTGCTCTGGCTAGGATGTAGTCAATCGGCGTTGCTCGTAGTCAGACTCGCTATTCCGGGTATCGACTCCGATGCTCGACGACTGCCGGTAACGACACGAACACTACCACGCGAGCCTTTGATTAATTGGCCGCTTTCAACACGATCTTGAATCATCTCATCAAGAATTCGAGACATCTCGTCCATGCTTTTCCGCTTCCCTTCGGGGGTGCCTTCGAAGCGCGGGGAGAAGTTGTTGTCTGGAGTGTAGGTCAAGGCATAGTCACTGTCCCCGAGACTGTGGCGGTGAGATAAAGTTTCTTTCATTCCGGGCCCACAGGCATCAATGGCAATGTGCGCAAGATCCCGATGTCGAGCAGCAGATCGGAGCGCTGTGAGCATTCGATCTTTATCGTCCAATTGTTGACGAAGCTCATTTATTTCCATATCCCTTTCCCGCAACAAAGCCATCGTATCAGTCAACTCAGCATTTGGACTGCTAGACTTCATGCCTATTGATATACGGGAATGACTTGAGCGGCGTGCTTGCAACAACCGCCTCTCCAACGTGGATATGTATCGATTTTTGTCATTGAGGTCAGCTTGAAGGGCTGCAATTTGTTGCTGAGTGCTCGCCTTCCCATCTGCGAATTCGCCGATATTCTCTTCATCATCTTCATGAGGCAAAGAGCTCGCGAGGCGTGCACTGACTGCGGGATCATAACTATTGACCGAAATGAGAGACATCGGGCGGTTTGACGGTTGTCCGTAGGCGCTCAATGTAGACTGACTAACTGAAGACCGCAGAGACCTCGTCCCAGCATCGAAGGCGGACTGTCTGGAAAGCCTACCAAGGGAGGGAAGTCCCCCGTGGTTGTTCACTCCAGTTGACTTCGAACATAATATAAGGCGATTCAGATGTTCTATACGTTCCTTTAACGCTGTCCGAGCCAGTTGCATCTCTAACATTTGTTCTTCGTGACGGGCATGCGCTTCCTTTTCTAGCTGCTGTTCTTCAAATTTGGGTTCTTTCTCAACCTGAGCTTTTGTCTGGCACTCGAGCTGGTTCCGGAGAGCCTGGATTTCCAAACGATAGCGTTCTAGAAGAACCCGACTCCCTGTGTCAGTGCCACCACTGCCCATTGCCTCCTCTGCTCTCTTAGCATGACTGACAATGCTATTCTTGGCTCGAGCTGCAAATTTCAAGGTATTGAGGGTTTCACCAGCATGCGTTCTAGTTGGACTGGCTAGCTGGATCGTGCAGAGAATGCTGACCAGAGAGTTTCCTGACAAAGCCGGCTGCAGCAGTCTCGTGAGCTTGCTATCGCGATAAGGCAGATGCTTGCCTTCCTTGTCAGTTGCACCACTGGCTTTTTCCTTTGATTCAGAAAGCTTGGAGATGATCGTGCCCAAAGTCAGTAAGCTCTTGTTAATGTGGGCACCTTCTGTCCGACGTTCTTTGTCATCAGCAGCACGCTCTGATCCAGCAAGATCGATAAGGCTGAGTGTGGAAACTCTGACCCCCCCAGGCAGTAAACCTGACCGCCTATCCTGGGACACACCTGCGGGTGCTCGTTCCCGACTCTCAACAACGATCTGGACAACCGCATGACTTCGTGAACTTCGAGCATTGAATTGGGTGCTGCCAGTCCTTCTCGCATGGTCTCCCCTTGCGATGACACGGAGAAGTTGTGTCGGGCTCTGGACGATTTCTTCTTTTAATGGAGTCGCATATACACCTCTCTTGCTATCCTCACGTAACTTGATTTCCTCTTGTTGGACAGTGGAGGGCGCACCGGACACTGACGCTGAAAGCAGGTCATTTATCCTCTCGTTGTAGATTTCGAGGTAGCTCACCCGCAACAAAAACTCCCGGTGCGGCGTCTCTCTGATGAAGGAGAATATGTCTGTAATCGCCAGTGGAATCACCCCTGGGGAGGTTGCGGTTCCTTGCATAGAAAAGGTCTTACCCGTTCCGGTCATGCCATAGGCAAACACTGTACCGTGATAGCCTTCCATAACCCTCCTCACGAGACGCTTTGCAGCAGCGTCGTAGACTTTTGCATTGTTTTCATTGGCCGAGAAAACGTTATCTGGAGTAGGGATCAGCACATCATCATTCCGAGCCCGGCGTTTGCAGGATATGTATACCATATAGATAGTCACCACCTTCTTTCCCATTGAAGGAGATGATTGCTCGCCTCCCATCTACCGTCCATTCAGATGTCTTTATTGCTTCTACCCCCCCAACATCAGGTCGTACTCGGACGCTCACGATCACATTTCCCTTTGTCGTATCCCTGCTCTCCTTTGATTTAAGAGTGGACTTGGATATGCCGGCTGCGTCATCACCATCCTCATATGTGGTTGCGCTTGTCGAATAAGATCCTTGTGCAGAAGAGCTTCTGCTTTGGGGAGGGGAAGCATCCATGTCCCGTATCTCACAACTAAGAATCGATTTCAAGTCCCCGTTTTCGTGGATAAGGGATGTTGTCTTAGATGTTCGGTAGCTACTGATTGTGCTAGTGCTCAGCCTGGAGCTTTTCCGTTCTTTGAGACTTCCGGAAGGACGCAGGCCTTGTATTCCTGAGATCGAGGACGCAGTCGAAGGGCGACTTCCAGCCTTAGGTGGCTGAGGGAAGGCTGCGATACTGACCGTTCTTCGCAATGATGTGTCGGGACTACTGGGAACCCGGGTGTTGATAAGGGACTTCGATGGACCAACATATGTTGTTGGACTATGAAGCACGGATCTGCTAGAACTTGACCTAGGACTGGAGGGAGCACGCATACTCGAGGAAGCCTGGGATGAGGAAAGAGTCCTGGGCGTATGTGGTAAAGTTGCTAGGCTCTTTCGTGATCTCGGAGCAGAAATTTGAGGAGCCGGAGAGCTGGCGGTGGGCCTGGGTGGTGGAGGTAATTCAGACATGAGGACGTTTGGCAAGGCCGAGCAACGATCGACATCAATCAAAAAAGGCCCCTAATCGATCGGGTTCAATCTTCGAGCACGGCTTGAGCGACGACGATATGCAACAACTATCACTTGTTTCGTCCATGCACGTTAAAAAGAACCCTGGATACCACACTCGATACGTTTCGGAAGCAGTGCCTGGAGGAGAAGGCCTGATTAGAACAACTGGAGACATAGGAGATTGATGGTGTCTGAAACTGTATAACATGGGGCTGAGACTGGACATGAGACACTGTGCTCGGGGACCGTATGAATGTATATGATCCAAGATTGCACCTAGACAATCTCGAGATATCTTCGAGAACCATAACATCGCCCAACAGAGGCAGGATATAAATGCAACTATGCGGACTTACATGGACCGTCAGCAGGGTGCGGCCGTGGATTTCCCGAGCGGTGCTCAAAAACACCGTTGCGCGCTCCGCGACTCGGCGGAATTGAAAGTTGCCAGGAGCTTAACTGTCACCATGTGGTATTGGTGATTTGGTGATTTGGTGATTGGGATAGATTGAGACAGATCAGATGACTACTTTTGTATGAAGTGGACATGAAATGATCGGTACGTTGCCATCTAATAGTTGATGTAGGGGAAGAGAAGCATGGATGTGCAGATAAGGGGCGGAGCGACGGAGGGACGGGAAATTATAGTGTGGACAGAGAAGAAAGGTTCAAATGTAGATCAGTCAGGATGTTTAATGAGCTCTAAGTGAGACTGAGACCGCGCGCCCGCGCGGCGGGGGAGGGGGACGGGGTAGCAATGTGTAATAATGTATGTATCTACTCATAATTCAGTATGAGTAACTACCTAGTAACTAGTAGAGTGGTACTTGTAATGGCACTACGCAGTAATCATGAGTGCCTTCAAACGTGGGCGTTGGAGCACTGAGAAAGGGTTAAACTCCAGGAGGGCTCCATTGGCAGGGAGTGAGAAGGGCTTTGCTCCTTGAGTCCTTAGGCTCCTCCTTTACTAATTTACTTTACTAGGCTGGGTAAGCTCCTTATCATACCTTGACTGACCAATCTTACCTTAAACCTAGGTCCTTTGCTGTAATAACCAGGGCAAAGTGACAACTCAGTCACCAGAAATAACTTAGTTAACTATGTACATACCATAGATAGGTAGGACACGGTACGTAATGTACTGTACGTACCTTAGTGTGTGCACGGTGCGGAACGGGTACCTGGAGCCAACTTGATTATGGCCTTATGTCAACCAAATCAAGGAGCCTTCTCGTCTTACAATACTATCATTATCCGTGCACCAAAGTCATTTTTCTGCAGATGGCAATTGAGGACGTTGATAGAGACTATGAGACTGGAAGGAGGTTCTGTTCCCATTGGTTGGACAAATAAGCCCCTTGACCTGTTCCATCCCGCTCGACCATTACCTTACTATTCTTGGGCTTGATTTAGCCTTTGAATGTAAAAATTCTAGTTTTACTAAATGCACGTTTACCAGCAGCGCGTGATCAGTATGGAGGGAGTCTCAGTTCTCTCCCCGTCAAGTAGGGGTACCCTTTTGCTCGATTTGTACTGCACACTACAGTACACAACTACAGTATGTATCCGTAGCGACGACTAGCAAAAACATACTGGACAAGATGCATACCCCCCGCATTGATTTTCAATGCCATACGAGGCATAGACTTAGAAATGAAACCGCGCTACCCATGGGATAGCGAGCATCTTAATAAAAGGTACAGAAAAAAAATTGATAGTCAGCAGAGCTTGGTGTGGAACGCTGCTGGACGCTGTTTTATATTTGTTTTTTCCTACTTGGTGACGATATCGCGACTGACAGCGGATCGAGATCCTCGCAATCGCTAGCCCAGACTCAGGTGGTATCATATGGGGGATCTTTGAAATGCCAACTTTGTCAGGTGGGAGGAAGGAAGAGTGTATATCTTTTAGGGAGAAACCACAAGCTCATTGTTATCCTGGTGCTATCTGTTCCCTTCATGCACATCACCGGTAGTTGGAATACCAGATAACAGCGTTAGAATCTGTATCTGCCGCATGGCTGTGTGCCCCTGAAGCTGGGCTTTCTGTGGTAGATAGACCTTGGATAACTTAGCCCACTGGTAGACAAATGACCTTGCGCGTTGCAGCAAATCACTTTCCTAAAGTTTTGTCTGGAATGGCTTCGATTCATCGAGTCTGTTCCGGTACTCGTAAGCTAGTCACTGACCGCAGTGAAATTCAGCTGTCTAGCCGCATTCTTGAATGTTAAATCTTCGATTTCTCCCCCTCGCCTGGTCAGGTCTGCGCCCATCTTCTTAATGCCATCAATCTTGCGAGGAAGGTTTTTCTTGTCGGTTGGTTTAGGCTCAGTAGTCCACCAGCCGTGTTGCAAAACTCTGCAAGCTGTGTTTCGCTTCTTAGGGTCCAGGGTGCACATTGACATCAGCAAATCCGCGCCGACAGGACCAGCTGTCGGAAATTGCCTGAAGAAAAAATCTCGACCCTGAAGAGGGACGACATGGTTGGGATCAGCAGGCAGATAATTTGGTAGTTTGGTTACACCTGGCCAATTGTCCTCATTCGGGGTCCCGAAAGCTTCACAGATCTTCGTGATTTGATCGAGATCGGTATTTCCTGCAACGAACGGAACTCGCAGGAGGAGTTCAGCGAAAACCATGCCCATAGACCAGATATCGACCACCCCCGAGTATTGCCGGGCACCAAAGAGCAGCTCTGGGGGACGATACCAGCGTGTAATGACCTGGTGGGTCATATTCAAGTAGGGATCCGCAAACGACCTAGCTAAACCGAAGTCCGCGAGTTTCACTTCCCCATCTGCCGCGATGAGGAGGTTGTTAGGCTTGATATCCCGATGCAATATGAAATTCTCGTGACAGAACCAGACCCCTCTGGCGAGCATTCCCATCCAAGCCTTGATATCAGCGACGCCGTAGTGAATATTCGTATCCTTAATCAGCATCTCGAGATCGCCCCGTGGTAGATATTCGAGAACGAGATTGAGATTTTGATCCTTTGATGAGAAGACATCGTGAAGCGCTATTATGTTGGGATGTGACAGCTCTTGCAAGTATTTTACTTCTCGAATGGCGTCCATGGAAAGTCCATCTTTGTATTCTGCATTGACCTTTATCTTTTTGATAGCGACGAACGAGGACGGATCTGTTCGAAGGTGGCCGAGGAAAACAACCGCATAGGTACCTTCACCGAGCCTTTTATCTATGAAATGATCACGCTCATCATTAACCGCCAAGAACAGCGACAACAAGGTAGTATTGCAAGCAACGAGGGAGGATGCATGGAACCATTCAAGAGAATAAGGCGTAAAATCATACCTTTAATATACTTGTGTCTTACATCGTCGTTTAACTGCTCGGTAATCTCACGCTCATTGGTAACATGAGAGGAATATTTCATATTTGGCTTGTATGGTGAGCGTTCAGCGTTATTTACCTCTGACTCTTTTGTCGCATCAGTAGTTCTAGCTGCATGCGAAGCAGGGTTCGGGATTAAAGGAGAAACAGCCATTGTTACTACAATGTAGCAACGTCTGGTTGTCTCTAGTAAAGAATTAGTAAGAATACCACCAAAATATAAAGTGTTGTTAAGATTTATTAGTTAGATGACTGGACACAAGTCACTGGAATTTATGTTCTTGGAAACGGAGGATGTAGCATCTCAAGCAGGTTGGTAATAGCAGTTTCGGAGTTATGTTGATCCTGGCTGGAACTGATGCCGCCAAAATTTCTCCTCATTATCCCCGACCCGGAGAAGAGGACCAACTGCCAAACTAAGGTTCCAATAAAACACCTTGATCTCTCAGCTCAGTCATCTGTTCAGATTATTGCCTATTATTACTATTTTCAAGTTCACAACATAATATCTTGACCGGACTGAGTGATCAGCCCGGCTACAATGGCGATGCACAGTCCATATCTTTTCTCCTTGCGAGCAATGCGACCTATTACCATCGGAAAGCAATGCTTCCGGCACCTTCACAAGCAGGTGCCTTCTGTTGCAATACCTTCGCCAACACCATTTGTCCCAGACGTCCAGACTTTCCTTACACTAATCGGCCGTGGCATGAATAAACACACCAGCAAGCTGCCATCTTGGGATAAACTGTTTTCCGTTAGTTCGCCAGAGCTTAAAGAGTTGGGCATTGAACCTGCAAGCCAGCGACGGTATTTACTCCGCAAAAGGGAGAAATTTAGACGAGGGATTTTCGGTCCTGGCGGTGACTTGCAGCACGTTGTCAATGGTACTGCACAATTGCGGGTGGTTGAGGTCCCGAAGAAGCCAAAGGATATCGCGGAAAGCCACAAATCCGCAAGCCTCTCAAATTATGCGGCCAATTCCTCCCCAGGCACGAGGAAGATCGTTGTCAACCTGCCACCAGATGCCAAAGAATATATCCACAACCAATCTCAGCCACCAAAAAAGATCGCATACATGAGAGTTCACCACGGCAGCACTATAAAGGGCCCTTTCCTACAGCCGATCAAGGGTACCAAAGGTAGCGCAGCTTTATTCGAGTTGAAGGAAGGTATGTGGGAGGATCGACTTGGAGTCAAGGTGGATGGTGGTGAAAGACGACGTGCGGAAGTCAGAGCGAAACGGAGGAGCGAAGAGAGGCGGAAAGGCACTATCTAAAAACCTAGAAATTCTTAGATAGGTTCACATTAGCTTGTGGTATACCTGTTTCTTCTGTATTTCTACAAGCTTGCACCAAATTTTGCTGTATGTACTATAGGCATTCATATTTTATTGCTGTTGCACTATTTTATAAATCATGCTTGTATTATCTTGCAATACACAATGGACTGAACATAAAACCCATTGCTTTGGCCCAATAAGTTAAATGCTCTTAGATGTGTTTTTTAACTTGTAAGATGTATTTATTATGTATATATATTAGCTTCTCAGCCGCAGTCCCATAAGTTAACAGCGGGCCCTTTGTTTATTTCTTATTTCATTATGATTAATAATTGATGAAGCTTAGAGGGTGTCTTCTATTAGTTCTGCACAAGTATTAATAAGGTAATAAGAATATACATCTACTATTATCTGCTATCATTTGTTATGAGGCTAAAGAGGAGCAGTAATATTATTTGCTCGAGGGAGCACGCTTTTCGAAATGTATAAATGATTTCCCAGCGGGTTTCGAGAAAAGTGACTGGGCCCAGTAAGTAAAATAGAAGGTATATGTCTGGGTATGAGAATACTTACTGAATAGTCTGTTTCAGGGATACTCTGTACATTGGGCAAGTTGCGGAACTTGAACAATCTTACCAAAGCCGCTGTTATGGCACCAAGTTGTACATAGGCAAATTGTTCACCAATGCACCTGTGCCTCCCAGCGCCAAATGGAAGGTAAGGGCTGTTTGTGCCCTTGCTAACAAGACCATACCCATAGTCAATTTTCTCTTCATCTTCTGCATTAGACGCAAGGTCCTCATCCCAGCGGTGAGGATCCCACTTTAGTGGGTTGACGAAATACTCCTCAGACCTTGCCGTCACACCAGGTGATGAGAGAACATTATGGGACGTAGGAATCACATATGGTGTTCCGTCCACAGGCATCGGGTTCTTCACCGCACGTATGATTGAATGGATAGGCGCATGTATACGCAATGTTTCCTTGATGACCTTAGCGTGAAGATCCAACTTTTGTAGGTCTTCGTATGTTAGAGGCGGCAAATCAGGGCCAAGGACACGGAGTTGTTCAGCAAAGAGCTCGTCCATGATTTCCGGATGTGCGGCAAGGTGTAGGACAATCCAGGAAGCTGTAGAAGCCGACGAATGCTGACCAGCCATGAGAAGAGCTATCATCATGTGCGCGACTTCCTCGTCGGGAACTTGAGTGCCATCTTTATATACGCAAGACATCAGGTTCCATACCATGTCTTCAGAGTCTTTCTCAGTTCCAGCAGTGCGACGAGCCTTAATGATTTCCATGTATGTTTCTGTCATTTTCCTCTGGGCGGCATCGCGTTTCCGATTATGGGGAAGAGGCGCCCAGGGTAGCATGAAATTGATTGGCGCGAATCCCATGTCCAGGTCATGATATAGCTCAGCAAAGGTGGAGTCAAATCTACTTCGAACTTCCTTGCCCTGAAGAGAGCGTGAGGCTGTATAGATAGTGATTTCAGCAACTATTTTGCACACGTCAAAGACACCGCTAGCACCCTGGAAAGCTGGAGAAAGCTGGACAAAATCCTCCACTTCATCGGTTATGAGACGAACATAGGAACGTAGAGCGTCAGAGGTAAGACCGAATTTGACGAACTATTCTCCGTGTTGTCAGCGGCAGGACACTCTTCATCCGGATGTGTCGGATTACCTTCTTCTGCTCCATTAATTTGGCATTTGGGCAGTCATACACAACATTGCTCCCGAACACAGGGGTAGTAAGCGGCGAATAGACTTCCTCGGCACAGACATCTCTTAACTTGCCATTGAGAATGAAGTCATTACCCTTAGTCCCAAGGTAAACAGTTGTCTTTTTGCCAAGAAGAACAAAAGTGAATATATCACCGTACTGATGGTGAATTAGCAAATGAGCTACCCAGAGGACCAAGACCTATGAAAGTACCTTCTCACGGCACTTAAAGAAAAACTTGTACGGATCCATGCCATAGCTGATCGTACTGCCAATAAAGGGCACCCAATGAAACACTACAGGTGGTTCTTTCGGATTCTTGAAAAGCAGTTGGCCCAAGACATTGAGCAGGATAGACACAGCAAGTAGGGCTAGAAGTGTTGTTCCCAGGATGACCAGACTCGAAGACTCCGTGCAATGCTTGCATATAGTATCGAGTAAGACCGCGAGAAAGCCCATGGCTGCGTCGTGCTAGCGGTTGCGAGACAGAACCAGGGGCCAGATAATTGAGCCGTGTGTCAGATAAGTAATCACTGACAATTCGAAATAATAGAAGATTAGGCTCGGAGCTCTTCCTCAGTGGAAGCAGTGAGGGTGATCCCGAGCAATATAAAGGCGAGGACTGAGCGAAGAGAAGCGTGCAGGGTGATTGTGGCTGAGAAAAAAGTAGCCTTGATTTGAGCGCGGATTCTGCCACTGTACGGAGATCTGTTGTGTATTGATTGTGTATTAGCCACTAGGTTAAACTAACTTAGTTACCCTCCCTGGCCACTGAGTGACGACAGCTAAAATCCATCAACTTGTCAAGAAATTAACTTAGTGATTAAAAACCAAAATATAGAAACCATAGCTTAGATTACTAGATATAAGTATAAAGAGCATCTCTATAATTGAGTTCCTTAGGCAAAAGTATGTCAACGTATAGTTGTGGGTTTTCTAGTAATTTTGAGGTCATTTCACTGAATTGTAATTTAGCTGGCCAGTTTAGTAGTCACTGTACTCTGTAACTGCTGCACGTGTAATAATAGTCACTATTGACACCAGCCGTCTTTCCACTACCAGTACGGACTATTGCTTTCAGACTAGAAAGTTATACCGCCTACTATAGAGGGCTTAACACCAGTGGTACGTATTAGGATTTCAGCTGTGTCAACATTGATTATCCGGGATCTATCAACGTCGGTCTCAATAACCATTAAGTTATCAATGAGCACATTCTTATCCCTCACTGTTGTTGACTATCGGGGCAGTGTAACTGATATACAAAACGACATATATAGTAAACTAGTGGTAAAATCCCCACGTACCCAAGAGGCAGAGGTAAGGCAGGCCTTTGGTAGTTGCTGCTTGGCAGACATGAGATTCCAGATCCGACCCCAGGCGAGTCTTTTGTACTGCACCTTGCATAGAAACTAGAACATTTCGAGGGAGGGGAGTTTACACCTTCCTGAGACTACAACCATAGCTTAGTCCCGCCAGCGGATAAACAAGTCAAGCCGTACGGGTAAGCTGCAAACTTATTCATAGAAACCATGTTAAACTATTTGCAAGGTAGTTTGTTGGCAATAGACCCTGAGTAGATCACCTACTCCTGACAGGTCCTGGCTCAAACAGTGATTTATATGTACCAGCGAAAATCCCTACCAAGTCTACCGCGGTGATTCTCTTGCTGCATGAAGAGATAGCAGGTCTCATAAGAGGGGTTTGCCTGCGAGAAATTACCAGTCGGATATCAACTATCAAGGGCTTGACTAATTTGCAGCATTCTGTGACAGCTACAAGCTTTCACAGAAGGAATATGTAAACATTGGACCGCAATCCTGTATGCAGAGAGACTTTGATTTGAGACATGAGGGATCTGAGATAAACACCACAGAATGGTTACCGTTACTCGTGACTGGGCCTTGCTTCATCCGGATATAGGAGTGGATCTCCCTGCTCCCCAAGGTTGATGAAGTCTTTAGGTGCGCTGTTGTTGTCGCAGGTCTCTCCACCCTTGATAACCTTGGCAGGATGATTGTGAATGCGCTTCCCAGTATGGCTATTGTGGAAAACCCGCACGGTAGTGCCGTTGCGCTCCTTGCATTCGTTGAAACTGACATCATTGATATGACTGAGGAGCGTTCTTTCGCGCGCTAGTTTACGCTTGGAAAAGTCCAATTTATCCAAGGCGCAGGTCAGCCCATCCGTACTGTCGGATAAATTAGGGTAAGTTTGCGCGAGCCACGGATGTTCCAAGCATTCATCGACAGTTATGCGCTTGTCAACATCGACCGTGAGCATCTTATCAATCAGATCCAAAGCCGGATCCCCAACAGAATCCCAATATGGTGATGGGTAGTCGAAACGACCCATTTTGATTTGTTGTGCTAGGGTGTAAGGGTTTTCCGGGGTGTAGAGTTCGTCGGAAAATGGCGGAAATCCGCAGAGGCAAATGTAGAGAACCACCCCAAGTGACCAGATATCAACTGCTTTAGTGTACTTACGCCGACGAGACTCCTGCAGTATCTCGGGCGCGACATCTAGAGAATGAGCTTGAATTTTGAAGTGAGAAATGAGGAACTGGGTATCTTACAGCTTGGCGTCCCGCATCTGAAGACAAAAACTATAAATTAGCAAACATGCTTATCAAAACCACATGTTGTATGTACGACATACAGAGTAGTTGTGAAGGAATCTTCACCAATTATCTTGGCCAGTCCAAAGTCTCCAAGCTTTACTGTCAATCTTTGATCTGCAACGAGAATATTTTCTGGTTTGATGTCTCGGTGAACGATACCACGATCGTGCTAATACGGATGGATCAGCAGCTAACCCAGAAATGATACAGTAACGGTCCATCCAACACATACCAAGTACTTCAGACCTTCAAATATCTGGATAAAGATATGGCGAGTCTCCGTTTCCGAGAACCTTTGTTTGCTGACGATCAAGTTGAAAAGTTCACCTTCCGAAGCAAGTTCGAGTACAAGATATACCCCATCACTCTCATCGAATGTATCTTTAAGACATAGAAGGTTCGGATGACTGACGCCCATCAGAAGCCCAATCTCTTGTTGCAAGGCGTCGGTCTGTGATTTTTGAGAGTCACTTGAACGTTTCTCGAACAGTTTGACCGCATAATGTATCCCCGTAGCTCGTTCCACGCAAAGGTATACGCTGGCGAAATGTCCTTTCCCAAGTTGTTGAAGAATTCGATACTGTTGACGAAAGCGATTTGTATCCCTTATCCGAGGATATCTGAAAATAAAGCGTGCTTGGTCCAGAATTGTGATCTCGTCACCATCTTCGAGTTCTCGATGTTGGTTACGTCCAACAATTGCATCGTTGACAAAAGTCCCATTGCTAGACAGATCCTCTAGAACAGCAATTGAATCGCCTTTCTTGTTCTCAGGGAACAACAGAAAATGACGGTTGGATACAGTAGG